AAAGGTCTACATCGTCCTTGGTCCAACAGCTGAACAATAAATATAATTTAAAAAAATCGTTCCCTCCTTAGTATTTTGCCAATATCATTCTGGCTTTGTCTAAAACAAAGAAACATCATACTGATCTAGGAAATTTTAAATTTTAATATCACTTTAAGTTATAATGTATTTTCCTAGTCAGCTACCTTTAACAATGACCCAAATAATTATAGTTTTTAAAATAAATTTCCTATGTTTAACTGAATTTCCCCTCCGTTCAACTCATGTTCAGTGATGTCATCAGCTTAAGCAAGATCTCCTAGACCACTTGGCTGGTTCCACAACTATTATAATGATCCAAAGGGAAAAAGGAATGGGTTACCAGAAAAAAATGCTTTGGTTTTAAATAACATTTTATTCACTGGCATGGAAAAAAGGCAGGAAAATGCAGAAAGTACATAAACTTTGAATAAAGATTTCCATTTTTTTAAAGATTTTTTTTCTTAAGTATGTTGAGGCTCTAGAATCAAAAAGATATTAAGGCCTCTTCCTGTCTAGCTTAGCAAGTACACCGTTACACATTCTTTACTGTCCCAGGTCTCATCAAAATATTTTCAAAGGGCACACATACTCACACACCACAAAAAAGTAAACATTTTTTCCAAGAAGCATGTATCATATTGTTAAGTATGTGGTTATTTCATCAGTCAGTTTTAAAGGTCACCTAAAATCCGGTATCTGAATGATGGAGGCAAGAAAGAGCACTTAGGTTCAAGAGAAGCCAGAACCCCACAATGGCTAAAACAAAGTAAGAAAATGTAGTTTTGTTTGTTTGTTTGTTTGTTTTGCGGTACGCGGGCCTCTCACTGTTGTGGCCTCTCCCGTTGCGGAGCACAGGCTCCGGACGCGCAGGCTCAGCGGCCATGGCTCACGGGCCCAGCCGCTCCGCGGCACGTATGTGGGATCTTCCCGGACCGGGGCACGAACCCGTGTCCCCTGCATCGGCAGGCTGACTCTCAACCACTGCGCCACCAGGGAAGCCCAGAAAATGTAAAAACAAAGTCTAAAGTCCCTTTTCTATACCAGGTTACTACATTAATTTTAATCATCATCCTTAGGCTTCTCTTGACGTGACAGTTTCTGAAGACTTTATTTATGTTGGCCTTGAGAGTTTTGAGGAGTACTGGTCAGGTGTTTTGTTGAAAGTCTGATTTATCTCATGTTTTTCTCTTGGTTAGACTGGGGTTACGGGTTTTGGGGAAGAAGGTCACAAAGATGCCATTTGCATCACACCATACCAAGGGTGCATACTATCAACGTGACTCATCACTGTTGATGTTAACTTTGATCTCCTTGCCGAGGTCACATTTGTCAGATTTCTCCAATGGAAATTTACTTTTTCCCCCTTTCCATAGTGTCATCTTTGGAAGGAAGTCACTATGAGTAGCTCACACTTAAGGAGTGAGGAGTTATGCTCTACCATGATAAGGGCAGAGTATCTATATAACTTGGACTTCTTTTGCACCATGGATTTGGCTATTCTCCTCCATTTGTTTATTTAAGTCAATCACTGTTTTATATTAGTATGGACTCATGGATATTTATTTTATACTTTGGGTTATCATCCAAAACTATTTTTTGTTTTGTTTTGTTACTTTTTTTTAACATCTTTATTGGAGTATAATTGCTTTACAATGGTGTGTTACTTTCTGCTTTATTAAAACTATTTTATTTTGTTGCTCAGTTTGAGTCATTAGGAGTTCTTTCAGATGGCTCCTTGGACTTTGACAGACACACGTAATTCCAGGTTCTTGTTGCTGCTATTTGAGCATTTCCTTATTTTCTGGCACTATAGATGCTCCAGCTTCATCTTGCATGTTGCCTGCCCCAGTCCCAGCCGTTTCTCCAAGAAGCCCTGGTTCCTTTACTGGAGAATATATTAGAAGCCAAGATACAGGCACTAGGGTACACTCACTGCTTCTAAACCCACTCAGCTGACAAACAAGGAAATATATGTGTGTATGCTATCACTTGCAAACAACCATATCTATAATTATTTCTATATGCAACCATCTGTATCTATAGTATGCTAAACATGAGTTCATAGTGATGTCTCCAATTCTAATCCATTTCCACATGGATCATTCTAGCCTCCTCCCCTTGCTCATCTGTAATCTCCCACTTCAGCAGTGAGAAACCTGGCTCCCATCACTTGCACCCATTTACTAAATTGCTCAATTCCAGGATACATGTACAGTGGTACCAGTATTGTTAACCTGTACCCCCATGGGAAACAACTCTATCAACTACAATACAGTACTTATGTACAGTTCCTTTTGCCTTTAGCCTTACAGATTCAACTCATTTCCAAAGTTACTTAGGTCAGTATCTTTTTCCTCTACTCCCTTCAGTGAGGTTGTTTCATACATTTTTAATACAGCTAGATGGTTCTGTCACATTTTACATTTCATCCTAGGATCCTCTGACCTCTTGATTATTTATTTACATATTATCAAACAAAATAACAAGTTTTATTCTCAACAAAGGGTAGGATAAGAGTGGGAAGGGAGAAGCCACTGATGGAACTTGAAAGGAAAAGTACCACTTTAGAGCTTTTCTTAAGTTTCTGTCTAGTATCTGCTTAAAAATAGAAGTTTATTGAAAGCTAATATAACTTGTTTTTTAAAATGTATTGAAATCTTTGCATACAATAAAGGACATGGTAAAAATCAAAAGTAAGAAACATAGCTCCCTTTCACAATTAACACATGGATTTTTGTAGGAGCTTTCAGTAACTTTATTCAATTTTCCTACTTGTAAAATGGGAATAAAAAGTTTCTCATTCAGACTAAGAATTTATAGTAGGCATATGGATAGTATTCTGCCATTCAAGGATAAAAATGTAACCACTACTTTAGTTTAATAAATGTAGACTCTATGCCTTGAAGGAAGTAAGCTCTACCCAGTTATATTTTTCACATAATTGTGAAATTTTACATTTTCACACAATTATATTCATTAAGCATTGTAACCCTGATGATTACTATTTGCTCATATCACTAAGCAATTATTTCTGTCTAGTAACCTGGGATCCTTGGGCATTTTAAGTCCTTACAGTATCCAAACAGTTACCAGTATATACCTAGATTTATTCTTAAGCATGTGGGAAAATTTATATATAGAGATTTGGTGGCCATTCATGGAAGATTATCTTGAGTATAATAAAATTCCCCCAAAAAAAAGAAAAGAAAAAGGAGAAAAAAAATCTTTGAGGATTAAAAAAATTTTTTTATCCCTGTAAGACTGCATAAATGCCATTTATTTACTAACATATAATCACAAACTTCCAAAAATATACCTTAAACTCCTGCTGTGATCATGTGTTTTACTGAATTTTCAGAAAAGGAGACATCAAGAGTAAATTCAAGTCAACCTTTCAGGAGCAAAATGTGCCCACGGACCTTCTGAGTTTCTTTAAGGAAACCAGCATTTATCAATAACTCATTCCTACTCAACACTTTACATGCAGTGTAATTCACAAGTCTAATCTCTTTCTTTGTAGTAAGCACTGAGAAGAAAGCCATGTTTGAGGCCATTACTGAGAATTTCTTCTAAATACTGTCGACAGTTTCTTCTTCCCCGTTATTCTAATTCAAAAATGAAATATCTGAGAGTATAAAATCTAGAATTTCCTAGTTAAATATTCAGAGACAGTATATTGTCAAATCTTACTGAAAAGCCCATCTTCAATAATTTCAAAAAAATCTGAAGATACAGTAGGAACACCTATTTCTTTCCCTCACAGACTCCCAAGAATATCAAACAAGTTATTCTATAGATAAGTCACTATGCTTTTGTACTGATGTAAATTTGCACCACCGCTGCTCTATCCCAAAGGCCACCTCAGACTCCAGCAGAAATGACAGGAAGCAAACTCATTCTGAGCAGGGAGGGAGACCAGAGCAGGAGGTAAGATTAGAGGCAAAGAACGGGATAATGAGAGCTCAAAGTCAAAGTGATGCTTTAAAAAATATAATCTAGAAGGTTTTTTGGGGGGTGAGTTGGGGGAGAGACGTAAGCACTTTACCGAGACCACTGCCTCCATTAAGGGAGTCCAATGCTATAAAAGAAGGCGCTGAAAACAAGCTCACAGAGATGAATGCTCCTCCAACCAAGATTGCTATAATTATTGTATTGCTTTGCAGTACATTAGCACAAAGAAATAGGTAGAATAATGAGGAATCAATAAAGTTTGATTTGAAAATTCTCAAATTCTAAAAACCCTGAACAACTGTTAGAGGACAGGCAAGAAGAAAAGAACAAATGACTGCCTGAATTTACCCACCCTCTGAACATCGATGCCTCATCAATTCCTTCTCCCCACACAAAAAACCAGCAGTCTCCTTGGCGTCAGATACCCAGAATCATGGTCAAAGAGGCAAGTGTGGACTCAGCAAGACTGACTGTCACCCTCAGAACCAAATCTTTCCAGTGTTTGAGGGTTCATATTACACAATAACTGACAAAGTCCAGGGAGGCATTGCTGCCAAGAGACAGGTACAGTAAGAAAGCCACAAAGCAGAGCTGGCTTTATTTGGAAGCACTTTGCCAGGCTTCACACCAACCCAACTTGGCAGCTATGTAATCCCTCAGGGGGAATATGAAGGAATTTTGAGAAAGTATTTGCTCAAAGATACGTATCGTTTCCATCTACAGTACTGGAAGCTGCCAGCAGAGATCTCAACAGAGAGCTAGGCTCGGCATTTAACCATTAAACCTGACTTCCAGTCTCCTAACTCAGAAATACAGGGGCTTAATAAAGTAATCTTTTCATCCTGACTTAAGGGAAGTAATCCTATTAAGAGTTCAGCATGCCTGGGAATTTACCTGCTTCACTGTGGGTCGAAGGATTTAAGGTTAGATGGGTAATGCCACAATAAAGAGGAGTGTCTTCACATAGACTCACCTCCCGGTGTGTAAGATTAATGGGCAGGGGACTGCAGAGTGCCCAGATAACCTACCTGCCACTCTGGTCTGAGGTCCACGTAACTGATCGCCCCTGGGGTTTGGTTGTGTACTGTATCCTTATGGCATGAGGAAAGTCAGTAGCTGTCTGAACCCCTGTCTTCCTGATCTGTAAGCTCCAAGTGTCAATGTCAAACAGGAGTTCCCCACAACCAGGAGCCTGGCTGCAGCGAGCATAATAGTCTAACTGCTCCCTCCAACGATCTGCAGGCAGAGCCACGAGTTCACGTACAATCTGATTCCTGAGCTTGGGAGACCTTGTAAATTTTTCAATACCTGGCACAGCAGCAACATCCACCTCCTCAACCTTTAACACAGATAAATCACAGCAGTCCAACACTAGCAAAAAATCCTCACTCCCATGATTCCCTGTGTCACAGCAGTACTTTGAGCTAGAAATCCCAGAAGCCTGTTCCTGGTTGTCATGGTTACCATCTTTACCAGACGTATCTTTTTCACCTTTACCACAGATTACAAAATCATTATATCCCATTTTAGATGAGACGGTCCTTGTATTTGTTACAGGAATATGGCAGGGTTCAGGCGTCCTAAGTTTGCAGGCTTCGTTTGACTCTGATGGGTAGGTTTCCTCGGTGGAACTACTCTGTTTCTTGAATTTATTTCCAGACTCGAAGAAAAGCACTATGGTGCCCTCAATTATTTGACTTTCGAAATCCACATCTAAATCCAGTACATAGTGCTTCACAAGTATGTGGCTGGTGTTGGCCATGAGAGGCAGGTCATCTCGGGAAGGATCCAGCTTTATGTCCATGGTATAGGTGTTGTTCGAGAACTTTGTTAAAATCTCAGAAGGGGCTTCCTGTCAGTCCCAATCTTCCAGAGTCATAAATGGCTGCTTACCAAAAAACACCCGATGTCACAAATTAGGGTTCCACAACTTTCAGTCCCCTGGTAAAGAAGAAAAACACAATCACACAAAATTCCAAACAAGACCCTTTGCTCCTGCAACTGCTGCTTCTGCAAGTTGACTACCTCCTTAAATAATTCCCCAATGTAGTAGAAGCTCATGGCTAGAAGGCAGACTAATCTTTTTGACTGACATCAAAGAAAATTACATTATGGGTTTCTAAAAATATTTCAATTATCAATGGAATGAAAGGGGCCTCCACAAAACCAGAAGAATCATGTTCCTAACTAGAACAGTCCTTGTTTCGGAAAACAGCAATTGTTAGGCAAAAGTGTAACATCACTGTACGTCTTGTTTTAAAAGATATTAAGTGTATCGTTTCTAATTTTGTGCACCAAAAGAAAAGGGATTGTTTCTCTACTGTGATTCTAAGTAACAAATGTGAATGAAGGCTAAACGGTCTCATATGTTTTATTCTTTGAGAGTAATCATTTAATACATACAATGTAACTCCAGGGATTATTGTACTTTTCACATTAGGACTGCTCTCATATCAGCACTTCCAGTAAATTACAGGAAAATGAGCCAATTTACCAAGAGTGCATTCTAAGTATTCCTTTGAGATTGTTCATGGAGATTTTTCAAATTTATAGTTAAATACTCAAGGTATATCATTACATCTTAATAGCTGAAAGCCCATTAACATTCTGGATAATAGCCTTCTTGTGGCAAACGAAAAGGTCTTCTCATCTGAAAAAAAAAAAAGGTATGCAAATGCCTATAAAAGGAAGGAGAGAAATTAAAACGTGGAAACAGATGTTGTAATAAAATGCCCAAGTTCTTCATAAAAGTTCTGATCAAAATGTAGTCCTATTTTATAACAGCAATCCAGCTAAAATAAAAATTATTTGAAATTATTTCAGTCCCTGTTGTGTACCTAATTTCTTTCAGCATATTTTTTTTTAACCAAAAGTGGGAAAAAAAATGGCAGGGAAAAAGAAACAAAAACTCTGACAGAGTAGATGTATTTAAAATCACTTTTGTATTTCTAAATATCAAGAGGTATTCTTTTATCAACAGCAAAACAACATTACTTGCTTGACTTTTCAAGTAAAATTGAGCCCTCCATTTTTATTGTTTAACTCCTCCTCACTTCCCTTCTAACTTTTTCGGCCAATCTCCTAGACTCTTATTTCCTTTCCTTCTAGATTCTCATTCCAACAATCAAAACTATTGAACTTTCATTTTCTACCTCTCCACAGGCTATTTCCTCATCAAAATCTCACCTATCCTTAAAAGAAGCTGGCTTCCTGCAGCCTTGTACAATCTGGTTTCAGGCTATTTTTTCCAGTCATGGAGACCACACTCGCTTTGAATCCTTGTCCTCTAGTCAAAGGGCCTGCTCAGCACACTGCTCCCTAAAGATGACCTGACATCTTGCCTCCATGCTTTCTGGAGGCAAGTAGTGTGCCACACCTGGAGTGCTCCTGGCTCCCACCTCCCATATCCACCTGCCAAATTCTCTTCTCCCTCCACACAGTTCAAGTCCAATTGCCTCCTGAAATCCTTCCCTGCCCCCTACTCTCCCTCCCCCATCCCCACCAAACTGTATGTGGTAATACACACTTTGACTTTAAGAAGGATAGGAATTGAGAGAAATCAGGGATGTAAAAGAATAGTCTGAGATTACCTTAAGGAGAAGCTGGCACTCACTTTAATCCTAGAAAAGTCAATGGGCAAAGGGAATAAGCCAGGGTATTTTCTTTTCTGCATGAGAACAATTGAACTTGTCACATAATGAATAATAAACTACAATAAAGCTACTGGCTGTATCTATGTAATTAGAAACAACGGATGCTAAAACTTCATCCTGCTGGTGTTTGGAGCTGCTGTAATGCAGTATTTTGTTGACTGGGCTATTTTTTTAATAAAAAAAAAAAACTGAATACACACACGAGGAAAAGCCTGAATCAATTAAGACAAGGCTTAACTTTGTGGCTGTCTAAACTATCAAATTTGAAAAAGAATACTTTAGTGTGTCTAATAATATAGATAAAACCATTTATTGTCTAACCCTAATAGATTCCTTCATTTACTTGTGAAAGTTAATATAATTTAATAAAATATATTCTATAGAGTAGTTTTCATCACTTCTGTCCCTGGTGGCTGTCCCTAGGCTGCCTTAGAGCCCTGCCCATCCAAGACTGTTAATGTCACTTTGTTTGTCAACCTAACTGGAAATCCTTTTGTCCTCTTCAGTACATTCTTTTTTTTTTAAATTGAAGTCTAGTTGATGAACAATATTATATAAGCTACAGGTATACAATTCAGTGATTCACAACTTTTAAAGGTTACACTCCATTTATAGTTATTATAAAATATTGGCTATATTCCCTGTGTTGTACAATATATCATTGTAGCTTATTTTATACATAATTGTTCATACCTCTTAATCCCCTACCCTTATGTTGCCCCTCCTCCTTCCCTCTCCCCACTGATAATCACTAATTTGTTCTCTATATCTGTGAGCCTGCTTCTTTTTTGTTATATTCACTCGTTTGTAGAATTTTTCAGATTCTACATATAAGTGATCTCATACAGTATTTGTCTTTCTCTGTCTGACTTATTTCATTTAGAATAATACCGTCGAAGTCCACCCACATTGTTACAAAAGGCAAGATTTTCATTCCTTTCTATGGCTGCATAGTATTCCATTGTATATGTATACCACATCTTCTTTATCTGTTCATGGACATTTACGTGGCTTCTGTATCTTGGTAAGTGTAAGTAATGCTGCTAAGAACACTGGGGTGCGTGAATCTTTTCCAATTAGCGTTGTTGTTGTTGCTGTTTGAATATATACGCAGGAGTGGAACTGCTGGGTCATATGGTAGTTTTATTTTCAGCTTTTTGAGAAACTTACATACTGTCTTCCACAGTGGCTGCAACAATTTACATTCCCACAACAGTGTAGAAGGGTTTCCTTTTCTTCACATCCCCTCCAACATTTGTTATTCGTGTTCTTTTTGATGACAGCCATTCTGACGGGTGTGAGGTGATATCTCATTGTGGTTTTGATTTGCATTTCCCTGACGATGAGTGATGTTGAGCATCTTTTCATGTGCCTGTTGGCCATCTGCATTTCCTCTTTGGATAAATGTCTATTCAGGTCTTCTCTGCCCATTTTCTAATCAGGTTGTTTGTTTGGTTTTTTTTTTTGTTGTTGTTGTTGTTTTGATTTGGGGGGGTTTTTTTTGATGTTGAACTGTATGAGCTGTTTATATATTTTGGATATTAACCCCTTATCAGTCACATCATTTGCAAATATTTTCTCCCATTTAGTAGGTTTAGTAGGTTGTCTTTTGTTTTTGTTTTTTTTTTCCTTTGCTGTACAGAAGCTTTTAAGTTTAATTAGGTCCCATTTATTATTTGTGCTTTTATCTCCTTTGTTTAGGAGATAGAGCCAAAAGAACATTGCTGTGATTTATGTCAGAGTGTTCTGCCTGTGTTTTCCTCTGGGAGTTTTATGGTTTTGGGTCTTACATTTAGGTCCTTAATCCATTTTGAGTTTATTTTTGTGTACACTGTTAGAGAATGTTATGACTTCATTCTTTCACATGTAGCTGTCCAGTTTTCCCAGAACCACTTATTTAAGAGACTTTCTTTTCTCCCTTGTATATTCTTGCCTCTTTTGTTGCAGACTAGTGACTTTATTCCTGGGCATTCTATCCTGCTCCATTTGTCTATATTCTGCTTTTGTGCCAATACCATTCTGTTTTGATTATTGTAGCTTTGTAGTATAGTCTGATGTCAGAGAGTGTGATTCCTCCAGCTCTACTCTTCTTTCTCAAGATTGTTTTGGCTATTTGGGGTCTTTTGTGTTTCCATACAAATTAAAAAATTTTTTGTTCTAGGTCTGTGAAAAATACCATTGGTATTTTGATAGGGATTGCATTGCATCTGTAGATTGCCTTGGATAGTATGGTCATTTTAACAATACTGATTCTTCCAATCCAAGAACATGGTATAGCTTTCCATCTGTTTGTGTCACCTTCAATTTCTTTCATCAGCGTCTTATAGTTTTCAGAGTACAGGTCTTCTGCCTCCTGTGGTAAGTTTATTCCTAGGTATTTTATTATTTTTGATGTTATGGTAAAGGGGATTGTTTCTTTAATTTCTCTTTCTGATAGCTGTTAGTGTACAGAAATGCAACAGATTTCTGTATATTAATTTTATATCCTGCAACTTTACTGAATTCATTGATGAGTTGTAGTAGTTTTCTGGCATCTTTAGGATTTTCTACAAATAGTATCATGTCATCGGCAAATAGTGACAGTTTTACTTCTTCTTTTCCAATTTGGATTCTGTTTATATCTTTTTCTTCTCTGATTGCTGGGGCTAGGGCTTCCAATAATATGATGAATAAAACAAGACAAGGGCATCCTTGTCTTGTTCCTGATCTCAGAGGAAATGCTTTCAGCTTTTCACTGTTGAGTATGATGTTAGCTGTGGGTAGGTCCTATATGGTCTTTATTATGTTGAGATATGTTCCCTCTATGCCCACTTTCTGGAAAGTTTTTATCATAAATGGATGTTGAATTTTGTCAAAAGCTTTTCTGCATCTATCAAGATGATCATCTGGTTTTTATTCTTCAATTTGTTAATGTGATGTATCACATTGATTGATTTGCAGATATAGAAAAATCCTTGCATCTCTGGGATAGATCCCACTTCATCACTGTGTATGATCCTTTTAATGTATTGTTGGATTCAGTTTGCAAATATTTTGTTGAGGATTTCTGCATCTAGGTTCATCAGTGATATTGGCCTGTAATTTTCTTTTTTTGTGATATCTTTATCTGGTATTAGGGTAATGCTGGTCCCATAGAATGCGTTTGGAAGTGTTCCTTCCTCCACAATATTTTGGAATATTTGGAGAAGGATAGGTGTTAACTCTTCTCTAAATGTTTGGTAGAATTCACCTGTGAAGCCATCTGGTCCTGGACTTTAGCTTGTTGGAATTTTTTAAATTACTGGCTCG